CGACTCTCGCTCGCACCAGCCGACCTGCGAAGCAGCTGGAATCCGCGCCAGCCAATCAGCGAGCGGCGCTGAGGACTTATTAGCATGCGCCGCACGCGCCCACCTGCCACCAGGGGGCGGCGTCCGCCTCCACCTGGACCCGGAGGCGCCTCAGGTGAGACCCGGTTCGGAAAGGACTCAAGCAACAGGCTCTGTCACTAGGAGCGAGAGCCTTTGAACCTGGGTGGAGTTAAGCACAGAAGTGAGACCGAGTCCTCACTAATAAAGCACAGCAGAGACACGGGAATGTCCCGTGCCTACTTTGGCACTAAGCAGCTGGGTGACCTTGGGCAAGTTTCTTCAGATCTCTAAGAATCAATTTCCTCCTTTGAAAAGTAAAAATTTTTAAATAGGATCATAATATCCAAGAAAAGGTTCCCTCTAGTATTTAATGAAGAAACACGTAACACAGTGCTTGGACCTTAACAAATGTTTTTTAAAAAGATCATAGGTGGTGATTTATTAACCAAATAAAGTGGTAAAATGTTAGTGTTTAAAAGGAATTTAAAAGAAAGTGAAGAAAGAAGAAGAAAGCTGGGCGTGGTGGCGCACGCCTGTAATCCCAGCACTCAGGAGGCTGAGACAGGAGGATCGCCGAGTTTGAGACCATCCTGGGCTACATAGTGAGTTCTAGGTCAGTCTCAACTACATAGTGAGACCCTGTCTCAAAAAAAAAAAAAAAAAAAAAAAGAAAGAAAGAAAGGAGAAGCTCACAATTCCTGCTGAATGTGCTATCTAGCCTTAGGGAAATTATATTTTATTTCTCTAATCCTTAGTGTTTGTGTTTGTTTGTAATAGAGTTTAGTTTTTAGAGCAGTTTTAGATTCACAGCAAAATCAAGCAGAAGGCATAATACAGAGATTTCCATATATATCCTCTCCCCCCACAGCTATAGCTTCCTCCCATTACCACCACCCCTCACCAGAGTGGGGCCTCAACAAAATCAGTGAACCTGCATTGAAATATCCTTATTTTGGTATTTCACCGCTAAAAAAAATAAGAGTGTGAAACTCCTAAGAGCCGTCAGTTCCCCTGCAGCTTTGGCATACAAAGCATTTTCCCCTATGTACACACGGCGGATGGATGTCTAGCGTGGCAAATACAGTGCTTAAATTGGAAACAAACACAGAGAGATCTGGCTTAGGAAGGAACAGTCAACTGCTGCCCCTTTAAGTAGAAGTTTTATCTTTTTCTTTTCTTTCTTTCTTTCAAGCCATGTTTACCTGCTAGAATCTGACGAAAGCTATGGTCACTCCACACATTTACATAATACGAATTTAAATTTACAGAGAATTTCAAGAGCTTCGCTGTTGATTTCTCCTGGACCCTCTTCAGAAACCCCACTTCAGAGCCTCCTCCAGCTTAGAGGACCCGGACTCTGCAGAGGTTTGTCTGGTCAGCAGACCAGCGGTCCTCCAAAGCACACCAGGCCTCTGAGAACTAACTTCCTGGTGTGGGCTGAGAGCCAAGGAAAGTGCTAAAACACCTTGACATCTTCATGGAGCATTGTTTGGACCTAGTGTTACACGGAACACACCCAAGCCAATAAACCCTAAAGTTTCTTCTTGTTTCAGTGTTCCTTCATTCTATAAATCCTAAACAGAGAGAAGCAAGTTTACTGAAATGGAGAATAAGAAAAATTATTTGGGAGCAAAGATGGAAAAAAATACAAAGGGTTTTTCTTAGCAGTGGGGTAGGAGAAACCTCAGAAAGCCACCAATGTTCTGCCCACCCTTCTTCTATCAGGCTACACTCTTCGAGCTACATTTCTTGGAATCCACCCTTGGCTCATTGGCCTGGGGCTGCTGAGCTGGTGACTCAGAAGCCAGTCCCTGGCCAGTGACATGACCATGAAGTGGACCTGAAGAGTTTACATGAGCTTGCTAGATTATTGCCTTTGACTATGATTACTTGGGCCAGCTAGATGTAAAGTCACAATGAGAGGAAACTGAGGCAAAATGCAAACAGAAGGGAGAAAGCAAAATTGAAAGGTGATAAGTGGAGCCTATCAGAAAAGAGAGGCAAACACACTGAACAGGCAGAGAGACCAAGAGACAGATGGAGAGATCTCTCCAGCTAAGTTGGGTTGTGGTCTTTCCAAGGGCGAGAGTGTCCTTGTGAATCTTTCCACACACCTGAGTTTTTGTTTCTTGAAATCAAAACAGTGTAATGTGTAATAGATGCTAAAGGTTTGGAGTCCCTAAACCTGATGTAATAATCTGTTTATTTACACAACAAACATACAGGAATCGCAAGCAAAATATGACCCAGCCCCTATCTCCAGGAGTTCGCCATTTAATGGAGAAAATACTCGCAAAGAAATGATATAAAACAATATCTGATATGACCAAAATCCAGACAAACAATTCAGAGCATTGTGGAAATAGGCTTTGCCCAGGACAAAATCAGGGAGCTTTCCTGGCAAAGTGGTCTTAAAGGGGGGTGGGGAGTGAACCAGGTGAGAGAGACAAAGATATCCCACAGAGAACAGCTCAAGAAAGGGTGCAGAGACAGAGACCAGAGTGACTGGAGGGTGCAACGGGAGTTCGCTGGACACCAGACCGCAGTGCCGTTCAGAGGGGCTGGGTCTGGAATGGAATGGGAAAGGGAATAAGGAGGTTGGCTGGACTGACAGGAATGTTCTATTTCTCAACGGAAACAGTGGCTATGTGGGTAAGTCAGTTGTCAGAACATCCAGATATACTTTCCACTAAACCTCAGCTAGGAGACTGACCCAGGAGATTAGTATCATCTTGCGGTAAGACGGAGAGCACAGTGCTAACACGAAGTCCCGCTGGGACTCAGTCAGGAAGTGGACATTCCACCGTGGTCATCCGTATGACTGTCCTCAGTGTTCTCCTGCTCACATCAATAGAAAGGTCCAATTCAGGACCTAAACTGGAGTCTTGCTGCCCTGAGTGTTATACAGTGTGATCTATGTGGTACTGGACCTTGTCCCCATAGAAAAAAATTTCATCCAATACAGTAATTTGTCACACACACACACACACACACACACACACACGCACTATAGTAGTGTCCTTTTAACAACCAGGCCTAAGTCTTCTTCAATGACGCCTTGTCAACCCAACCGCTTAATCCCTTGTACCAAATGCTGGGAATACAAACCCTTAAAAGGTACACTGTCTGCCCTTGTGCCACTCAGTCTGGGAGGGAAGACAGAAGTGTCAGACCAAGTCCAGGCAAAGATTTCCATGAGGTGTTTCTTAGAGATGGGGGTGGGGAGTTGGCTGGGGATTTAGCTCGGTGCTTCCGCCGCCTGCCTCGAGATATGGTATAGTTGAAGAAGCCATCAAGGCACGTGGCAGCACCCAGAGTAATGCAACCAGGGAAGCCATTACTATTCCCTATACCCCAAGGAATGGAAAGCCAGAGGTCTGTTGCAGGTCCTGTCTTCCTGGAGAGACACAGCCATAGCTAGAGGGAAAGTTAGGGAAGTAAATACCCTGGCTCTCTCCTCCTGCCCTTGACCTTCTGTTGGTGCCTTCAGTTGTCCAGTCCTGATCTAAATCCAGATAGCAATGGACCCTGAGTGATACTGTCCTGAGGTAATGATGGAAGGGGCAGTTAACTGAGAATTAAACACAGGGCCTTTGCACTGAACTGTATCTCCAGTTTTGTTTTGTTTTTTAAGACAAGGTCAAAGTTGCTAAATTTCCCAAGTTAAGCTTAAACTTGTGATCCTCCTGCCTCAGCCTCCAAGAGTATACCAGTAATGGATGAAAGTTACACAGGAAAAAATTTATATGTGAAGAAGCAGCACCATGGGAGGTTACAGTCTAGATCTTGGATGTCTCCTCAAACCCTCATGTGTTCAGAGGATAGACTTTGGAAGGTGATTTTGGAAGGGGGCACCATATTCATCAGTAGATTAATCTACTGATGAGTTCATAGCTGAATGTGCTGTTGAGAGGTGGGGCCTGGTAGGAAGAGGCAGTCACTGGCGGCATGGCCTGGAAGGATCTTTCACTCTCTCCGGTTCTTCTCTTCTCTCTTCTGCTTCTTGGACGCCATGACACAAGCAGCCTTCTTCCGCCAGACCCTTTTACCATGGCCCTTCCTGCCTTGGAGTCCGTTGGATACAGACTGGATCCTATAAAAACCATGAGCCAAAGTAAACCTCTCCTTATTTAAGTTGTGAGTGTCAGGTATTGTGTCCCAGCAATATGACCAACTGAGACATCAGATTAGATTTCTATGATGTTGTGGTCACCCAGAAATGTCTTGCAATTGATCCTGTGTCCCCCAGCACTTTGGAGAGCTTCCATAACAGCACCACCAACACCCCCATGAACAGACTTCTCCCATACTTTGAAAGAAATGATGTCAGACTCACTTGACTCCCTGGGCCACTGCCCATATTGTCACCCCTGTTTGCAGCCCTTTACTCACATCTTACTTGGAGTTGTTACAAGTGTACCTTACACTTGCAATCTTAAAATAATCATACAGAGCAGGGGACATCTCCTTGCTGGTAACTGTCGCTGCCCAGCTCTTATCACAGGCACTATCTCATGAACATAGACCAGGGGGCCTTATTTTCCACTCAGTGAGCAAGCAGGGCCAGCCCCAGTTTAAAAGTGAAGGCTGAACACATCCGTCCTTCTCTGTGTACTTCTGTTTTCTCCACGAAGAGCTGCTTTAGGCCTGTGGAAGCAGCCAGACCCGGTGGTGCTTCATCAGGAAAAAGAGGAAAGCCTTTGTGGAAGGTTTCCTGCTTCTTCTACATTCAGGGATTATTCAGACAGCATTTTAAACTGGGTGTGGTGGTGCATGGCTGTAATCACAGCACTCTGGCAGGCTGAGGCGGGAGGGTTGCGAGTTCGAGCCCCACCTGAGCAATTTAGTGATTGAATGAGACCCTGTGTCAAA